CCTGAGGCTGCCTGGGCCCCTTCAGCCCCCCTCTTTTGGCCTCCTTGCCCCATCCCCCTAGACCTGACCCAGAGAGAGGCTCCAGGTACTGGCGGGGTGGGGCGGACGGGCGGGGGGGTGGGGAAGGCTGGATGAATAACAAGGTTACACGTGCTTCTTCTTTTCCCTTTTCTCCAGGAGGAACATAAAGAGCTCTTTCTTTTCTGCTTATTAATAGCTCTGATTAAATTATCTCTGAAAAATCTACGTGGTGTGCACCAATGGGGGCTCAGCTCCCTTTAGGCTCTGGCCTAGATTACAGCAACGAGGGCAGGCGAGGCAGGCAGTGGAGGGCTGGGGAGGGGGGCCGGAGCAGGCCTGCTCGCCCCGCCAGGACGAAGGCTCAGTGTCTGCCTCCCCGCCTCCCTCCCCAGCGCCAGCTCAGCCTCTGACCTACCTCCACTCTTGGGGCACTCACAGCTCCTTCACTCGGGACACTAGGCCTTTGCGGCTGCAGTTTTCTCTGCTGAGAGAGCTCTTCTTTCCCTTGTCCCCCTAGGAACTTCCTACTCCTGCTTCAGGGAGCAGCTGCTCAGCCTTTTCACAATCACCAGCCCCACTGTGGGTGTTCGGGGCCTGCTCTGGGCTTTTCCCTTCCCTGTTACCCTGGATGATAACTGCTAGTTGCTTTCTCTGGTCACTGCTGAATCCCACTGGCTGACACAGGGCAGGCCCTTAGGAGATGATGAATGAATGAATGAATGAATGAATGAGCAGAATTAAAGGAGGAATGATCAGGCCTCAGTGAGTGAGGGTATGACTAACCTCTCATGCAATGTGAGCAAAGTCCCAGCCTCCAGGCCCCCAGAGCAGTGCCTATGTGGCATTTAACCCCATTTCGCAGGTGAGAAAACCGGAGGCATAGAGCAAATGGGGCACACGGCTAGCAACCTGAAGCGTCAGGATTCAGATCAGTCCGTCTGATTCTCCCCCTCATCCTCTCCCTGCTCTCCCTACTTACAAGGAACAAAACGAGAATAAAATGGGCACATTCATTCATTGATTCAGAGATTAATTCAACAAACCTTTATTGGGCACTGACGGTATGCCAGGCCTGTGCTAGGGATAAAACAGCTTGAGTGCAGCCCCTTCCCTCACAGAGCCCCTAGGTTGGTGGGGAAGACTGACAGATAAGTGGGCCGTGATAACACAGACCCTAAAGGGGCAAGCATTCTAGCCCAGAGAGTGGCAGTCAGGGAAGACTTCCCAGAAGAGGTGGTACTCTAGCTGAACTCTGAAGGAGGAGGAAGAATCGACTACCTGGAGGGAAGACATGCTGGATGGAGAGGGGCAGCATGGGCCTGGAAGTTCAAGAGCCACGTGGGAGGATGTGCAGATATTTCAGCAAGGCTCATGCATAGGGAGCATACAGGGGCAGCGAGGGACCAGGTGCCCTCGGCCACCCTGCCCCCTCAGGGTCCCTTGGACCCCTGGCTAGAGCCAGTGTTCAGGGGCCTGCCTGCTTGGTGGTTCTGTGGACCATAGCAAATCCATGTTGACTCTGTCTCTATTCACACAATGCAGAATTATTGGACATAACCCAGAGCAAGGGAAGGCTGGATCAAGGCTGGGAGCAGGGGAAGGGAATGGGCATGTGGGGGGTGGTGTGGGGTGGTGGGCACTGTGAGGCACAGGGTGGGACATAAGTGAGGACCCAAGACTGAGCACCTTTGGGGGGCATTCACCTGCCTGGAGGGGTGTCAGAGACACCTGAGATACCCCTCCACCTACATACCTACCTTGGAGCCTGCTGTTGTCTGAAATCCCACCATTAGCACAGCATTGGTTCACAGACTTCAGAGATGGTAGGGCCTGTCTGTACCCTGGAATAACATGGGGGCCTTTGGAAACTGCTGAGGCGGGACGGGGGTGCCAGCTGCAGAGTCTGATTGGTAGGTTGGGTCATGAGCCCCACCCTCCATTTTACAGCAGAGGAAACTGAGGTCCAGAGAGAAGAAACTCGCCCTCAAGGTCACACCCCGTCAATTAGTGGCTGGCACTGTGTGAAATAAATCAAGTCAGGGGCGCTGGCTGGTGTTTGGAATCCGGTTCTGTCCTTGTGTGACCTTGTGCAAGTCACGTGGCCTTCCTCAGCTGTAAGATGTGGATAATAATCAAACAGGTGGCACAGGGTTGCTGTGAAGGTGAAAGGACATAGAAATGTGTGATATAAATAGCACCGAGCGCTGCCTGGTCCATAGCTGGTGTCAATGGTAACCTACAAAGCAGAAAGTCCCAAACTTTGGAAAGGCCGCGATCTGGCCAGCTGCCTGCTTCTCTCCTTCCCGCTCTGTTTCTTCCCAGGGTTTTTGTTGTTGCGGTCCCTCGCCCTGCACCTGGCTTGGGTGCGCCAGGTATTCTCCCCATCTGTCCACGCCCCAGCCTACCCAGCCTGTTGCCCAGGCAACGTGCCCAGACGTCGCTGCCAGTCCAGGCGGCTGGGCCCAGAGTGGAAGCAGCTGGCCGTGGGATCGTGTTCCCAGGTAAATCTCCACCCCCACCCCAACCCCCAGGGATGTTGGGTTGGGTAGGGCTGCAGGGAAAACTAAAGGATTAAAGCAGGGGCCAAGCCTGCAAGCTGCTGGGAACTGTGTGCGTGGCGGCTGCTCGGCAGCCTGAAACAGGGCCAGCTCCTGCCCTAGATAAGGCAGTAGGTGGCCTACTTGGGCCGGCCCTGGAGCTCCCCCGCGGGCACCTCTCCCAGGTGCTGGGTAGGGGTAGGTTGGCTGCTGGAAGTAGGCCAGGGCTGACTGTAATCAGCGCATCTCACAGGGTACATTCACCAGGGTCTCCAAAGCCCTCCACTTCTCGATAAGCACAGCTGCATTTATTGAGCACTTACTGTATTCTGAGTCCTTTCCACGCAGTAACTCACTTTGCCCTCACAACAACCCTGTGAGGTAGGAATTATGATACACAGACCAGAAACTGAGGCACAGAGTCATGAAGATAAATGTTCAAGGACCACAGCTAGCAAGGGCCAGGCTGGAACCCCACCCAGGTTCTGTGAGGCTCTGGGGGGGTCACATGGACACAGTCTGAGCGTGGTGGGAGGAGTTCTGGCTGGTACTTTGCCTTTCTATGGAGATCCTGAGGTCTCTCCTGGAAAGCTGGCTCCCCAACTTGCTGTGTGATAGACACATGGAAACTGAGGGAACTGTTCCTATCAGGACTCAACTTTGCCATCTGTCAAATGGGACTGCTGAAGGGGTCATCCATGGGCCCTCAAGGCAGACCAAGAGTGAGCCTGCAAAACTGCTTAGGAAGTAAAAGGCAAGATTCAGTATAGTTTAGTGGGTTCAAAATTTGGAATCCAGGTGAAACTGTATCTCAGTTTCCCCATCTATTAAGTGGGGGAGAATACCAGTGCCTGTTTCCCATGTACGTGGTATGGATTTCATGAAGTAGAGATTTATAAGGAGCTCAGTATGGTGCCAGGTTATGCAGTTAGTGCTTCAGAGATCTCCATTGTGATACCAAAAATCCATCACTGCCAAAAAATACACCTTGGAGCCAAGCACTCCAGATAGAGTGTCACGTCACATCTCTTAACCTCAATTTCCTCTGTAAGTGGGAATATAATAATAGTACCTACCGTATCAGTTTTCTCATCTGTGAAATGGGAATGATAACAATAACTAACATGTTGTGTGTAAAGATTAGGTAAAGTACTTCGTTATATGTGTTAGTTTCTTTTATTGTTTTTATTATTCTTAACAATTAGCTACCAAATATGTGCTCAGTGATAATACTGGTTTTTCCACCCCGGTTCCCGACGAAGGGACTGCAAGTACCAGCATGCCCTGCATCACCAGTTGGGGCCCCTCCGCCTGGTGCCTGCGTGCTGCATACCGGGAGTTGCAGTCCTTTCCAGGCTGGCCCCGCCTTGCCCCAGCTTGGGGGAGGAGGTTGGAGAGCCGCCCTGCCGGTCTTTGAATTTTGCCGCGAAAAGCGCGCGTGGCGGCCCCTCGGCCACGCCCCCCGCAGGACGCGGCGCCGCGTCACCCTGGTAACCGCCTCTCGGCCGTCGCTGATTGGGCCAGACCACAGAGGGAGGGCGGGGGGGCGAGACACCGCGGCAGCTGCGGGAGCTCGCTCCTGTCAGTCGGGCCAGAGCGGAGCAACGGGCAGGACAGTCGGACTGGTGGCTCCGCGAAGAGGCTGCGCGCGCCAGCCGGAGAAGGCGATGAGCCAGGCCCACCACCTGAGAGGTTAGGCGCGCAGCACCCGGACCTGAAGCGAGGCGAGGCGCCGGCGCGCGCCAGGCGGCGCGAGGCAGAGGTCCCGGGAGCCCCCGCGCGCCACCCCAGGCCATGGGCGCGTGAGAGCCCGGTGAGCGCCGCCCCTTCTGCACCTCTCGAGATCGTCCACCCGGTGTACCGTCCTCCGGGCCGTCCCCACGTCCTCCTTGCTGTACCCGGACAGGTTATTTCTCGGCGTGGAAGCCCCCGGGGCTGTATCCGAGCCTCCGCCGCCCGCTGTCGCCGCCTCGGCTGCCGCTGCTCTCCGACTTCCCATCCCCCCACACCCGGGGCTCGGAGCAGGAGGAGGAGGGGCCGGTGCATCCTTGCCGCCGCTCTTTGCAACCTGCGGAGGCCGGTGCATGCCCGGTGAAGCGCCCGGACCGCTGCAGGTGAGTGCAATCCTTAAGGAGAAGACTCTCCCACCCCCGGGCGAATCCAAGGGCTGCAAGCCACCGGCGGGCGGCGAGCGAAAGGAAGCAACAAAGACAGGCTGCAGCTGGGGCCGGCGAGAGGGGCCGCGGCTGCCGGGCTCCCTGCGCGGGCGGAGAGGGCGCCCTGGGGAGCGGCGAAGGCTGAGCTGCAGCCCTGAGTGGGACCCAGAGGGGAGGCGCAGCGCCGCCCGCGGGACGCGGTGAGCACAAGCCTCGGCGAGAATGCGCCGCTTGAGCGCCCGCGCGCCCCGTGTTCCGGGCGGGCGCGACCCCCGCTGAACGGAGACCCTCTACACACCCCGACTTCGGACGGCGCGGGCCGGCGCCTATATTGGCTTCACCGACAGCATCCCTTTCCACCCGAAGAGAGGTATCGGCCCCCAAGGGGGGCTCTCTCTGTCAGCCTCTGTCACCTCTGCATGGCTGCAACCCTGCGAGCAGAGAGTCGTCGCCGCTGAGACCTGGTTGATCCGGTAAGTTCCGCGGGGCGGGGTTGCCGGTTGGAGCTGGCGGCACCCCCTGGCGTCGGGGCAGCCCGAATTGGAAATAAATGGACCCTGGACTGTTGGGGATTCTGAAGCTTAGGTGCCTCTTGACCTCCCCTTTCCTTCCTACACACAACTTGACTGTACTTGCCAGCCGGCCAGAGTAGGGGTTGGGGACGTTGTGGGTACTCTGCTGGGCCCTGGGCCGGGTGTATGTCAGAGGTCACCCCATCCCTAAAGCCAACAGACAAAAGTAGCAGGGGTAGCGGCTCTGTCTTATGAAAATTCCCCTCTTGGAACTCCTGTGCCTTGGAGTGTTTGAGGAAGGGGGCACCCAACATGGGACAGCTTGGACTTCTCCCAAGTAGCCTCTGAGATCTTCAAGGGACATCGGCTCAGAGGGGTACATGGAGTCTGGGTTCCATGCGGGTGGCTGCTTTTGAGGACTGTTTCCCAGAGGCTAGATTGTAGCAGGGTTCCTTTACAGCCCATGTTCCTACAAAAAACTCGCAGGTATGGCGGGTGCCCAAAGCAGCCGTGGCATGACATCACTACCAGGCCTCTGATGTCACTGGGGTTGCAGAGGAGACACGATTTGTCTTGATCCCAAGCTGGAGAGCGTGGAGGTCGTTGAATCCAAGGGCGGGGCTGGATGCCTTTGGGTAGTGGAGGGGGTGAAGGCAGACACCCCACCCCAAATGCAGCCCTCTGACCTAAATCCCCTGTGCCCTGATGAGGTGGGGGCGGGGGGAGACGGCCCCAGCTGTCCCTGGTGAGGCTCCTCCCCTCAAGGACAGGTGTTCAGCTTTGGCCATAGAGCCCGGGGGCTTAGGACTCCCACACAGCAACTTCCTGCTTTCCAAGGGGATTGCAACAAGACCCCCTCACTGAAACACACCCAGCCAGCAGGCTGAAGTTCCCTGGGTCCCCAGGGAGCCGTAGGTGCACTGCCTTAAGAGGGGCTACTACCTCTGGTCAGGAAAAGCTGGGTGCCTCGCTGCCAGCCAGGAAAGGTGCAAAGGAGCAGCTGCCTGCTGCCCTTCAAGTTCAGGGGGTCCCCTGCCGTTCACTGCCAAGACGAGGGGCCTTGGCCAAGCCTAAACTCCTGACTGCCCCACTCCTTTTGGTGTGGAAGATGATTTTGACAAGCTCCATGTGGTGTTCATTAAGCGAATGGAGGGCAAGTCAGGCCCATCCGTGCCAAGGTCTGAATAAAGCGTGTCTCTGCCAAGGGGCCAGTTTTCTGAGTTGTTGTTTTTGTTTTAAGATTTTATTTATGTATTTTTAGAGAGAGGGGAAGGGAGGGAGAAAGAGAGGGAGAGAACCATCAATGCCCCCAACTTGGGACCTGGGCGGCAACCCAGGCATGACCCGGAATTGTACCGGTTTGCAGGGCGACACCCACTGCCCTGAGCCACACCAGTCAGGGCAAGGGGCCAGCCCTCTCATCCTCAGCACACGCCGGCACTGGCCCTGGCCCTGTTCCTTGTGAAGGCCCAGAGAACCCCCGGGCAGCACCCTGCTGCTGGCTCTTTGATTCCCCTTCTAAGTTCCTTCCAGCAATTGCTGCCAGTGTCGGATGTGGGTGAAACTGCTGTGATCACATTTCTAGGAAAAGGTTAGAGAACTGTGTCATTGCTTCAGTGGCGCGGGGTGGGGTGAGAGCAGAGGGGAGTGTATATGAGGTCATTATGAGAAGCCAGGCCCCGTCTCTATGCAGCAAACATTTTTTTTCCTGTTGTACCCGGCTCTCTAGCTAGATGAACAGGTCAATAAATATCAGTGGAACTGCTTTTGGGGGCTTTGCAGGGAGATGATATTTCTAGCTGCAATGGTGTCGTTAAACACACAGGCTTCCAAGGACAGAGGAGCAATAGCAGATGGGTAGAGAAGTGGGAGAGGTGGGCAGAAGGGCTGTTTGCGCTGCCTCTCAAAGCTTCCCAGTTTAGAAACAAACTCAGAGTGCGCCGGAGATCCACAAACACAGGCAGTTGGAGGTCCTCCATGGAGTATTTACACTTCCAAAGCCAAGGCGGGGGTGGGGGGGGCTGTCAGAATTGGGCGATTCCTTCTGTTCCCTTCCCTGGGCTTGGCAACAGCACCAGGTGACGCACGGGAGGGAGTGCCAGCTTACCCAGCGTGCCAGGCATTTTATAAGATCTCAGTTCCTCTTTGGAGCGACTGACGTGCTGTATGTAGCCCATTATACAGATGAAGAAAGCAAGGCTAAAACAGGAAGTGATGATCTGCGGGTGCTCAGCCAGGCAGCAGCAGAGATTGGACTCTCAATGGTGCTGGCTTCAGCGTTCCCAGGTCTTCCCACCCTCTTCCATGGTCCCGCCTCTTGATGGAAAAAGTCCCTGTAAGAGTCCAGGGCTATCGGCTATAGGGGAAGTCTGGCCTCACCGAGATGTCTTGCCACACGGAAACCCAGGTTGGGCTCCTGCTTCCCCGTTACCTACAGGACAGATGGAGCGGACTAGCCACGTCTGCCCTGGCCTTGCGGGCAGCCTGCTTCCCTCTCCCCTGGCACCTCTCTCTCCAGCAGTGGGGGAAGGAGGGTATGGCCTGAAACCTGCCTGCCAGGACGGGATGAGAGAGCGGGCCGCAGGCTCCTTGTCATCTGCCCCTGTGGGCTTACCTGGAGAGGGGTGTGAGGCTGCCCCCAGCCATCCCGGGGACCCTCTTGAAGGCACCCAGCTGGTGGGGAGGTCAAGAATATAGATGGGGCAAGGGCATCCTTGTAGATGTGACTTCCTGACCCAGCCTGAGGCTGGGAGAGGGCCCTATAGGAGGAGCACCCTTCAACTCTCAGGGCAGATGGGATCCACCCGGCAAAGGTGTGGAAAGAGTGCACTGGGCAGAGGGAGTGGCCACGTAGTGGGCCTGTGACGGCCGGGGTGTGCTGAATGAGGGGACGCGCGGCCCCGGGGTGGCTGTGTCCTGGACGCTCCGGTGGACGGGGAGGTGTAGGCAGGGGAGAGGGTCCCTGTCAGGGCCGGTGACGTGGGACATGCTTCTGACAGGGCAGGGAGGGCCGCCTCAGCCCCCTAGGCAGTCTTCTCTGTCAAGGTTAGCTGTGCGCCCTCCGCCCCCACAACCTTCCGCCCCTACAACCCTATCACATACCTAGTTCCCGGTGAGCTCAGCCATCCCTTCTCCCTTCTGGGTCGCACAGGTGCTCTGGACCTGGGCTGGGCTACTTAAAGCCCCAGTGGTACGGAGCCAAGCTGTGGAGTGGGTCTGCCCCTGTTGGCTGTGTGACCTTGGGCAAATAGCTTTGCCTCTCTGACCCTCTGTTTCCAAACCTGTGAGGAGGAGCCGATAACAGCTCCCACTTCCCAGGGTGTGGTAAGGATCCAGTGAGGGCTTAGCACAGGTGGTGGCATACAGCAAGCACTCCATAAATGCACATTCTCCTGGCCACTATTAGCTTCATCCTCAGAATGGGGCCTTGAAAGGTTTTCCCAGTCCCTCTTGGACCTGGAGATCAAAGACCCCAGGGCAGGTCTGGGACTCCCGCCCTTCCAGTGGGCTCTGCTGGGCCTCCTCCCTGCCTGCCCCGGGCACGGCACATACGCGGCTCTCATCCGAGCTCCTGGGGTGGGTGCTGGGGCCTGGCCAGGGGGCCCCTCCCCAGCCCCTCTCCTGCCCCCGCGGCCTTCACAAACCGGAGGAAGCAAGCGGAGCGGCTCATATTCATGAACCGTAATTCAATCAGGCTGCGATTCCTCTGGGCGTGGGGCGGGGGTGAGAACGAGGGGGCGCGCACAAAAGGGCCGCTTTATTACCTCCCGCGGCCGGGAATTGCTGCTCTCCCCCAGCAGCGGCCGGAGCCTCCTTTATTGTGTTAACCCATTTGCGTGTCAAGAGCTATTGTGCGCTTTCTCTGCCTGTGCCAGGCAGGCTGCGGGAGGAGGGCTTCGCGCTGGCCGGTCACCTCCGCGGGCGCCGCCCACCGACCTGATTGGTTGCTAAGTGATTTGCATCCAAGGTAATCACTTTTATCTCAGAAGGATGTCGACTATAATTATAAGCTACTGACATCTTTTGAAATCTGCCTAATGACTATTTTAGTCTGCACAGGGTGGGGAGGGGGGATTCTGGAGGCTAGGGGAGTGGGGGAGGGAGGAGGCTGGAAGGTGGTTGGATTCCTTCCACCTGGACCTTTGATTCATTAGTTGAGAAATAGCTGAGTGCCTACTGCGTACCTCGAACAAAAGATAGTGCGGAGATGGGGCTGTTGCATTCCCGTGGGCGGAGTTAGTACCATTGCAGAGATAGGGAAATAGAGGCGGTGGGGAATGGGCCACTGGCCCAGAATCACATGCCCCCTAAGTGGCTGGAAGCTGAGTCTCTCTAACCCCCAAATCCCTGGAGTGGAGCATAGACAGAAATAATGGGATCATTCCTGGGTAAAGGTCACCTGTCTGGTAGCCTCCCTGGGCTTATGTCATGACCCTAAGATATGCAGGTGCTACCCCATTTTGTCAGGAAGGAAACAGGGCACAGAGAAGTCCTGTTGCTGCCCACAGTCACACAGCCAGAGAGTGGCAGAGGTATGAGGTCTGCTGGTAGCCAGAGTGGGATTCCCGCTCTCCTTTCTCCGCTCCCTTGTGGTTCTGTTCGGTAAACACCTGGCATCAGCCTGGGCCAGGCACCTTGCTGGCCACTGTCTGGGTGGCAAAGCTCCAAGGACTCCGATGGCCCATAGCCTCCATGCAGAGTCCAATGAGTCTGCAACGAGCTCAATTTCTGGGCAGAGCCAGCGCAGGCCTGAAGGAGGGACATGGAGGAGGAAGAACTGCTGCGGGTCGTGCAGGGCTCCCTGAGAGCGGGGCCTTTCGCTCTGGGCCCTGAAGCCTGGGTAGATCTGCCCGGCATGGAACAAATGGGGATCCACTGGCAGAGGGAGTTTGAGAACCAAGGACCATGACCGGCAGGAGCAGGGAAGCTTGTAAGAGGGTGGAGGCGAAGGGGAGACCAGC